GTTAGTTATCGAGAGGCGCACGCAGCGCACGAGACAAAGTTAGTTCGGTTGCGATATTCCTACGAGGAAGTCACTGTAAGAGGCGTAAGCCTCAATACTAATAATAATAAAGTCTGAACTGAAAGAACGCAAGTGTCTTAACCGCCCGTTCCCGAGGACCATCAGACCGGAGAACACGGCGGAGAGCGTACAAGTTCGCAGGCGCCCTAGCAAACGAGCGAAGGTGCCACCTAACCGACAAACATTGGTCCTTCGAGCCGGATTCACCGGGCGTAAGCAACCGAATCCAGTCGAGCACAGTCGGCAGATTCGACATCGGTCATCTGCCACTCGACATTCATCAACGATCCAACGCGGTTTCCAACGAGGGGATCGGCGCGGATCCGCAACCAAAAGACGTAACGACACGTCGTCTCAACGGCCATTCAGGCTTAAAGCAGGGTTCTCTACTGACAGAGGAGGACCGTCCACTCGGCGATACTTCGGCCGACATACGGGACCACGCAGGGATCCTTCGGGAAGCTTCTAGCTACTTCGGCGGACATACGGGATTACGCAGGGAGCCTTCGTGAAGCTTCGAGCAACTTCGGCGGACACGGAACGACGTTGGAATCCTTCGAGAAGCTTCTAGAGACGCAGCCATTACGCGACGCGTCTGCGCGCCACACTTTCCATTGTATCTGGGCTCGTGGTGAACCACCTTCGGTACTACACGTGAGAGACACTCATTCGATATAATCTTAACCAAAGACCTAGCGTAGATTCATTCTCGTTGCGTTAGCTATTCAAAATGGGTAGCGAAGCCGACATTGTTCAATTGAAAAAATGTCGCACCACAGTAAAGTCATCCTGCACGCGAATAAAAACGTACGTAGATTCTGTTCAAGAAGTTACGCGGACGGTAAGGGCACAACTCGAGGAACGCAAATTCAGGCTCGAACAATATTGGGCCGAATATACCAAGTTGCAAACGCAAATAGAATTATTAAACGAGGCAGAAGCTACCGACAGAACTACTTTCGAGGATGCGTTCTACGAGTTGGCTTCCAAAATACGATACTTACTAGGACCTCCGAGCGTGTCGCGTGACAGTGATATTCCTTCCCCGACAACATCGAACTCGCTCGATACGTCGCGCCCGTCGTTAATCATGCGATTACCCAAGCTTGACCTTCCGAAATTTACGGGAAGGTATGACGAATGGTTCCCCTTTCGGGACACCTTTCGATCCGTTATTCATTCTAACGTTTCCCTCAGCGCTGTACATATGTTACAATACTTAAGAGCCGCAACTAGCGACGACGCTCATAAAATAATAAGTTCTCTCGAAATATCCGAAGACAATTATACGGTCGCGTGGAATTTACTAAAAACTAGGTATGACAACAAGCGCGTCATAATCCAAAAACATATAAAAGCCATAATCGAACTGCCGACTATGAATAAGGAGGATGCGTTAGAACTACGGCAAATCGTGGACGGGGCGGCACGCCATCTTCAAGCGTTGAAGGCATTAAAACGCCCGACGGATAGTTGGGACGATCCGTTAATCTACTTACTTAGTGCTAAACTCGACGCGAATACTGCTCGAGAATGGCAAAGGTCACTGGCAGGCGATGAGCTGCCAACAATCAAACAATTTTTCGAGTTTCTATCTAGTCACTGTCAGGTTCTCGAATCGGCACAACAAGCAAACAGCGTAAAAGGTAAAGGTGCTGGCTCTAGATCACACGCGAATAACAAACAAAAGACATCTTGTCATACATCAGTCAATGTGAAATGTAACTTTTGTAAAGGCGAACACGCCATTCATCAATGCAAGCAATTCTTAGCACTCTCGGTCAATCAGCGCATAGAGAATGCGCGCTCTCGCAAAATCTGCTTAAATTGCCTGCGATCAACTACTCATACCGCTGTTAAATGCCCGTCCGGGAACTGCAGGATTTGTTCTAAAAGGCATAACACATTGCTACACATTCAAGCCGCGCTGCCTAATCAAAGTGAGTCTACTGAGGCTTCTAAACAAGAGACCAAGACGGACGCAAGTCCCACGCCTAATATGGCTAGCGTTGTGGTGACGCACTCTTCTAATTCCGCCTGTAACCAATAGGCTCTTCTGTCCACAGCTATTGTAATCGCGATAGGTAAAGGTGGCTCGCAACACTCTAACCGAGTTCTTCTCGATTCGGGATCCCAAGCTAACTTCGTAACAAAGGATTTCCTAAACACATTAGGATTAGTCCCTCGAGTAATGAATATGTCGGTATCAGGAATAAGCGGTACTACGGCTCAATCCACGCAAGCAATCCAAATCAAAATCCTTTCACGTATAAACACCTTTTCAGTCGTCATCGATTGCATCGTAGTCGATCGAATTACTGACGACCTTCCCGTATTTACAATGAAGCGATCGGAATTTAAACTTCCTCGCAATCTCCCATTAGCGGATCCTAAGTTCCACATTTCATCCAAGATAGATGTGTTAATAGGTGCAGAAACGTTCTGGAACACGCTGTGTGTAGGACAGATCCGAGCGACACACGAACACCCAATACTACAAAAGACGAAATTAGGGTGGATTCTAGCAGGCAGGTTAATCAATCATCCAGCGCACCTACAACGAGTGGCGTCACTTTGCGCCTCTGTTAGCAATTCCGACTTGCACGAACAGCTCCATAGGTTTTGGAAAATCGACGAATTTCGCGACAGTTCTAAAACGTATACGCTTGAGGAACAACGCTGCGAGAAGCATTTCGTAGAGACGACGACTAGAAACGACCAGGGTCGATACATAGTTCATTTACCGATCAAACAAGAAATATATGCAGAGCTAGGCGAGTCGCGAACCATAGCACTAAATAGACTGCATGCCTTAGAAAGACGTTTTGATCGGGACGCACAGTTAAAAGAACAATATTCAAAGGTCATACGCGAATACGCGACTTTAGGGCACATGCGGCCAATAATAGAAACCTCTTTACACGAGCCCGGTACGTACTACATGCCTCATCACTGCGTAGTAAAAGAAAACGCTAAAAGTACCAAACTTCGAGTGGTTTTCGATGCATCATGCAAATCCGATAGCGGAATATCATTAAACAATTCAATGATGGTAGGGCCGGTCGTGCAGGAGGACCTCACATCGATTCTTTTAAGATTTCGTACGTTCCGATACGTATTAGTGGCCGATGTGGTAAAAATGTACCGCCAGATATTGATAGACCCGTCGCAAACAAGGTTGCAGAGAATATTATGGCGTGACGACAAGGCATTCAACGTGCAGGCGTTCGAGTTGGTCACGGTTACATATGGCACGGCGGCGGCCTCCTTTTTAGCAACAAGATGCCTCGTGGATCTTGCGGATCAACAAGAGAAAGAATTCCCACTTGGGGCTTCTCGTATAAAGCGCGATTTTTATGTCGACGATCTGCTCACCGGAGCAGACTCTAAAACAGAGGCAATAAACATTCGTGACCAAATAATACGGATACTAAAGTCAGGATCTTTCGAACTAAGCAAATGGGGCTCTAATTGTCCGGATTTATTAAAGGGAGTCGACGGTCATATCGATGGTCTCGTAACTCTCGACAAAGAAGGTAGCTTTCGCGTTTTGGGCATCGCATGGGACCAACGCGACGACGTATTCCGTTTTTCTTTTAACCCTGAACAATCCCCAGGAGTCTTGACGAAGCGATCCATATTATCAGAAGTTTCCAAACTATTTGACCCTTTAGGTTTAATAGGCCCTATTACCGTACTCACGAAATTAGTATTACAGGACTTATGGCGGGCAGGAGTAGATTGGGACGAATCCATTCCCCAGGAGATTCATGAGAGATGGTCACAAATAAAACTGCAGTTTACCAATCTCAATCAGCTATCGGTCCCTAGGCAAGTCAAGCATCAATTCGAACCAGAGCTCGTGCAAATACACGGTTTCTGTGACGCGAGTGAACGCGCGTATGGCGCTTGCGTATACGTCCGCACACAGATGAGCCCGAATGAATACGTTTCGCATCTCCTGTTCTCTAAAGCCCGCTGCAGACGATGCTATTTTTCCTGCTGGATTGCTTGCGATTTAGTAAATTACTAGGGATCCTGAGTGCTGAGTGGTGCAACGATAGTAATTTATTAGATTGCAAGCAATCCAGCAGGAAAAATAGCATCGTCTGCAGCGGGCTTAAATCCCGCGTAGCCCCTCTTAAGGCGGTTTCCTTGCCACGCCTCGAGCTGGCGGCGGCATTATTGCTGTCACAAACGTTTGATAAGATCAAATTGTCAATAGATACAAGGGCCATTAAAATATGTCTATGGTCAGATTCCATCATAGCGTTGAACTGGATAACTTCTCCTTCGCGTCGATGGTCAGTCTTCGTTGCCAATCGAGTAGGAGAGATTCAAAGGTTAACAGAAATCCCAAGTTGGCGACACGTTAGGTCTGCCGACAACCCGGCCGACATCATCTCGAGAGGGATGCTTCCTATTGAATTAACGCACTCGCGATTATGGTGGCAAGGCCCTTCTTACCTTACATCGCCAGAAAGTCAATGGCCTAGCGGCAACTTTAGTTTACTAAAGACGGGAATGCCTGAACAAAAAATAACTTGCGCGATAATAGCCTCTTCAAGTTCTAATTTCGTAAACGAACTCATCGACAAATTTTCTAACTTAAATAAGATTTGCCGAATCTTAGCCTATTGTTCGAGAGTGTTCAAACCAAAAAACAAAAAACCTTTCACTGTAGAAATATCCCCGGACGAGAATTCTCACTCTCTGGATATTCTATGTAAAACAATACAAGTACAAGTCTTCTCGACTGATTACGAAAACCTAAAACAAAAACGTAGCCTCGGTAGCGCGAGCAAGCTGATCTCTTTGTCCCCTTTCATGAATGATGACGGGCTTATAAGGGTAGGCGGCAGATTGAAAAACTCGGCATTATCTTTCGATGCCTGCCATCAGATACTCCTACCACGAAATCACGCGCTAACCCGACGCATTATAGAATACGAGCACTTACGTAACATGCATTGCGGCCTGCAAGCCGCTATGGCCGCGGTTCGCCAACGATTCTGGCCGTTATCTTTAAGATCCGCTACTCGTAGTATTATAAACAAATGTATTACATGCTTCAGGGCGAAACCAACATCATCCGAAGCACTGATGGGTAATCTACCCACTCCTCGAGTCGCGGTTTCTAGACCACTTTCGCAATGCGGCGTCGACTATGCCGGGCCAGTGACCTTGCGAGAAGGAAATCGACGCAATTCGCGCAATCGCAAAGCCTACGTGGCCGTGTTCGTTTGTTTAGCAACAAAAGCGATACATTTAGAGGTGGTGGGCGATCTTACCACCGACGCGTTCCTTGCGGCTCTCAAAAGGCTCATATCCAGGAGAGGCAAACCGGCGTGCATGTATTCGGATAACGCTACTACCTTTGTCGGAGCTCAAAGACAATTGAAGGAATGGTACGATTTTTTGTCAACAAACCAGGTGCAAACGTTTATCGAATACTTTTTACGCGATCATCACACGCAATGGAGCTTCATCCCTCCCAACGCGCCTCACTTTGGTGGCCTTTGGGAGGCGGCTGTCAAATCAGCTAAGTTCCATCTGGCTCGTATAATTGGTGGACACCACATAACCTTTGAAGAAATGCAGACGATCTTGTGCGAAATCGAAGCCATTCTAAATTCTCAACCTCTCGTGCCTTTGAGCTCCGATCCCAACGACATGTCATATATAAGCCCGGGGCACTTCCTAACCGGGGCTCCTTTGAATAGTTTCCCGAGTACGCAGCTACTTGATGTTAATATAAATAGATTGACACGATGGCAATTGATAGAACATATGCAACAACACTTTTGGTCGAGGTGGAGTAAGGAATACTTAAACTCCCTTCAGGAGCGCCACAAATGGCAACGTTCCAAGGGATTGCAGCTGGAACCTGGTCGATTGGTTCTAATAAAACAGCCGGGATTAGCACCACTACACTGGCTAACCGGACGAGTGGAGCGAGTTCATTCGGGAACTGATGGAATAGCGCGCTCAGCTACGGTTAGAACTAGCAAGGGATCATACGACAGACCGTTGGCTAGATTGGCTATATTGCCTCTACAATTAAGCAGTCATATGTTGTGTCAATTAATTGCGTTACAAGCCTTACCTTATAAGTTCATATATATTCTGTTAATCAGTCACGCGTAGATGTAAGCTTAGTTACACATTACATTATAAGCATATGTATTGTTATGATAACCCCGCTTTCATTGAATTGAGTTAAACACGATATTTTATTTGATTAGCTATGCCTGTTAGCTATCGCTCTAGGCTTGTTAGAGCATTTTCCAAGGCATTCTTGTCACCTGTGAATTGAAGGGGAACCCTTCAAGGCGGGCGGCTTTGTTAAAGCATTAGTAAGTTGATTTGGGCCATGAGGCCCTTCGCGGTCGTGTGCGAAACCATTAGCTGGCGCAGCCTGATCATGCGCGGCCCTCCCCCCCTTCTCGCCGTTAGTTATCGAGAGGCGCACGCAGCGCACGAGACAAAGTTAGTTCGGTTGCGATATTCCTACGAGGAAGTCACTGTAAGAGGCGTAAGCCTCAATACTAATAATAATAAAGTCTGAACTGAAAGAACGCAAGTGTCTTAACCGCCCGTTCCCGAGGACCATCAGACCGGAGAACACGGCGGAGAGCGTACAAGCTCGCAGGCGCCCTAGCAAACGAGCGAAGGTGCCACCTAACCGACAAACAGTCCGTATCAGTTGCAAAACCCATGTAGATCCTTTGTACTGCAAAAGTCAAACTCCTTCAACCTCAAAGATCTATGCAGATTCTTTGTATTGCAAAACTCAAACTCCATCAACTTCAAAGACTTATATTGATTCTTTGCATTATAAAACTCAAACTTCTTCAACTGAAAATATGATTTCTTCTGATATCCATGATAATGATAATGCTCTTTTGGACAAAATCTATATTTCCAATCTATCAACTTCTCCACCAAATTTTTCACTGAATGTATTAGGTGTACAAATGAATAATCCAAAGTATTTTAAGCAGTTATGAAATCAATTTTAAATTGAATAGATTTTCCCGCTCTTTTGTGTTTATACAATGTTGACATATAACTATTAAAAAGAATATATAGTTTGGCGAAAGGCCCAACGTAACCTTCAAAAGTATTCAGTTCAGTACAGTCGAAAATGGCAACAGATAAGATGCATATCCGACACTGCATTCATTACGAATTCCAGCAAGGAAAAAATGCTACAAGAGCGTGCGAATCGATTTGCTCCTTTCTCGGCGAAGGCGTTGTATCGTACGATGTGTGCGCATTTTGGTTTTAGCGGTTTAAAAGCGGTGATTTTAGTCTAATCGACAAACAACGCCCTGAAGGCCCTCGGAAGCGCGACAACGAAGATTTGGAAAACTGCTCGCTGAGAATTCGGCACAAACGCAAAAAGAGCTTGCAGAACAGTTGGGAGTAACGCAGCAAACGATTTCCAAACGCCTACATGAGATGGGAAAGATCCAGAAAGTAGGAAAATGGGTTCCGCATAAACTCACTGAAACCAACAAAAGTCAACGAGTGGCAGCGTGTCTTTCTCTTCTCAATAAGCAGCGTCGGAAGTCTTTCTTGTGGAAAATCCTTACGGGCGGTGAGAAATGGACTCTATAACAATCCGAAACGCAGAAAGTCATGGGTAAATCCCGGCGAATCATCAAAATCGGTCGCAAAACCCAATCGCTTCGGAAAGAAGGTTCTTCTCTGCATTTGGTGGGATATCAAGGGCGTGCTTTATTATGAGTTGTTGGAACCGGGCGAAACAGTTACTGCGGACTGCTACCAACGTCAATTAATCTGCTTGAGTCAAGAATTGGAACGAAAACGCCCGTATACTGGCAAAGGAGAACGTCCAGTGAAATTGTTGCATGACAACGCCAGGCCACACATTGCTTCCAATACAAAAGACACTATAATGAGTCTTGGCTGGGACGTCTTGCAGTACCCGGGGTATTCACCAGATATTGCTCCATCCGATTACCACTTGTTCCGGTCGATGCAACACGCCTTGTCCGATATGCACTTCCAAACAGTGGATGAGATCCGAAAATGGCTTTATCGTATCCAAAGATGTAACATTTTTCCGAGATGGAATTCATCAGTTGCCTGAAAGATGGCTTAAAGTTATAGAAACGGCGAATACTTTGATTGAACAATTTCATTTACTTTCTTTTAAAATAAACCCTGAATGTAGCTGAAAAAATTGGATTATTCATTTGTACACCTAATAGATGATCTTAAGAAGCAAATAAAATACAATGCTATGTCATTCATTAAGGAAATGTATGCAATTCCAAATATTCCTAGAAATCATGTGCAAGTTCTTGTAGACAAAGTAAATGAGTTGGTTAGTCTCAATGTGTCTAGAGTAAGAGATTTTGTCAAATCACAGCTAGCAAGTAAGAATCTTTTAGCTAGTGCTATGATTATAGTAGACAATTATCTGGAAGTTTTGCAGAATTCTTTTGACGGTTTGTCTTCAGAGTTTTTGCGACTTAAAGAAATAAAAGAAGATGGTTCCTCGGTAGAGCCCAAAGAAATCATTGTTGGTGACTGACGATTTAGGACCCGGTCATGTTGATCCTGTTCCTGTAAAGGCTTTATTTATTCCATTGAGAGATACATTGAGGAACTTTTTTGAGAAACCAGGAGTCCTAGCATCTGTCAAAGATTATGTGAATTTTCTTGTATCACATCCAGAGGGATACATGACTAATTTTATTCAAGGACAGGCTTGGAAAGATAGAATTGCTGATCTTATAATTAGTGGTAATCATTTTCCTTTGTTTTTATTTTATGATGACTTCCAGGCTAATAATCCTTTGGGCTCACATTTTGAAAATGGTAAGGTGAGTAGGATAGCTATAGGAGTTCTGGACCACTTTTGGAGGGGGAAACCGGGCGGACCTAACCGCTGGGGGAGGGGGAACCGGGCCTTACCCTATGGGGCCCTACGCGGCGACCCTAACCGCGGGGGGGGGGATTTTCTATAGAGTAAACAGATTAGTGGAGGATTAAAATTCTTTACTGAAGTAAACAGAATAATGGGACTGGACCCGACGGTGCGGGGGA